TAAAAACATCTTGCGGCAAGAATACCCATTTTTCACGTTACGTTAAATTATATTATTACTACATTTGTCACAGGGACTTAGCTAGAGGAAGGCAAGTGGGGGACATTTGTCCCCGGTCGCATGTTCTGATGCCAAGCTGATGTTACGAATTTTTAGAATGAAAAGTTTTCCACGTTTAGCAAACAAGAGGGGCGCGAGATCTGCAGTTGTCCCCCGGCGCTAAAAACCCTATTTACAGCTCTGATTTGTCAGCCACCCGAGATGGTAAGTATCCGTCCCGTGAGGTAGCAGATCCTTTCAAATTATAGCAGTATATCTTTTAATAATGTAGCAATTTTTAACTGTTTAAAATAAAAAACTGTACATCTTATAATTTTTGTTAGCATCACAGGTGCTATTAGTTTTAAACCTTACTTTTTTAAAATTCGTATCAATTTTTAAATATTGTCACTAAATATTATAGCCATGTATTGTTTTATAGAAATAACACAGCGAACATAAAAAAATAAATGACGACACATATAAAAGGATGTTGCCTCCAAATGTTTTCTGTGTAGTTATTTGTAAAGAAATGATATAATGAATATAAAAAATTCTATGGCAACATTTTTTTTTTTAAATATTGGCACTAAATATTATAGCCATGTATTGTTTTAAAGAAATAATGTAGCAAACATAAAAAAATAAATGACAACACAAATAAAAGGATGTTGCCACCAAATGTTTTCTCTGCAGTTATTTGTAAAGAAATGATATACCTAATATAAAAAATTCTATGGCAACATTTAACACTTTAATCCGGAATTCTAAACATTTCCGATATAAAATATTTTTAACTTCTCCGCGCCCGTTTGTTGACATTTGGCGAAGAGTAAGTTATTGAATTTTTTTTTAAATTTAATCTGCCTATTATTGATTAACAAACGAAGCGATTTAAATGCAATTAACTCAATTTTTTATTTCTTTTAATAGTTACCAGCTGTATCCGTGAAGTGACACTAGCTGGATTTATCAAAAGCATTATATATTTCTCTGCGATTATTTTTAAAGAAATGATATACCGAATATAAAAAATTCTATGGCAACATTTAACACTTTATCGGGAATTCTAAACATTTGCGATATAAAATATTTTCAACTTCTCTGCTCCAGTTTGTTATCATTTGGCGAAGAGTAAATGTTTATTTAATCTGCCTATTATTGATAGACAAACTAAAAGATTTAAACGCAATTAACTCAATTTTTTATCTCTTTAAATAGTTACCAGCTGTATCCTCGAAGCGACACTAGCTGGATTTATTAAAAGCATTATATATATATATATATATATATATATATTTCTTTATTTTTTTAAATTTCTTTTTTATCTTTAGGCAATTGGCCGCGCCATAACGATTAGTTATTCGAAAACTGAAACGGATAACACTAGCGATTCGACGCAAAAGTGAGGTTCACGAATAATATTCCTTTTTGGACTAAAAAAATGTATGGCAACATTTAACACTGTATCGGGAAATCTAAAAACATGTTGTTTTTCAAAAAAAAAAAGTGTGATTTTTTTTACATTGAATTTTATGTGATGTAAGTGAGAAGAAAGTGATCATTAATAATAAAGTTAAAAAGACAAAAAAAGTTGTGTCAGTAGGAGTAAGTCCAAGAGCAGAGAGATAAACAGCGAGCTCAAAGAGAGCATAAAAATCTATCAAACTTTCTAGTGCGACGTTATTATTTGTATCCCTTCAGATTTTCTTTTTACTTTTATTTTGTTTATTTACATAAATATGGAATTCTTTCCAGTCTTAACTATGCAGCATGTGATGCCGAAATTATTATGGATCAAAAACATACTGAAAACTTCCATTTCTAGTGGCAAATATTTTTAAAAAATACTGTCGCGCAAGAAATATGATTTAAAATTTATGGATTCGTAGAATATTTTGAAATGCTTCTAATTTTAATTGAATGTTTTTAGCGCTTTTAAACATAGGAAATTTAATTCTTTGTTTATCGTAATGCGTTTTTAAAATTTTACTTTAAATTTTCAATATATTTAATTTTTGCTTTGAATGTTTTTATTTCTTTGTGTTTGGAGTGTGTATTCCTGCGCTTTTGTCAATAATTTTGAGTTAACAGCTACCGTTGGGGGGAGGAGGGGAGCGGGATTTTTTATTTTGGTGCATGTGCATCATTTTTCAGTATAAAATACGAGTCAATTATTAACATTGCATTTCTTAATATTTTATATAAACAACACAAAGAGAGTCGTTATAAAATTATTGTTCATATAATTGATATTTTTTTTTTTTTCATTTTCGTCATTAGCGTAATTTACAAAAGAAGTAGTGGACGATCTAAGACGATCATCCGCAGTTTGAGATGATGTTGATATGAGTAAATTCTTAGTTGTTTAATACTGACGTTTGTTTGCACTCTTAGAAATGCTGGTTATTTTTAAAGATGGTCATCTTAGGGAGCTGATTGTCATAAAATATTAATTATATTATTTCAATCGTTATTAGGTTTAATTTATTGATTAATTAATCGATCAGTGTGCTTAGTATTTTTTCCAATTGTGGCAAAACTTCATCCACAACGCCTATTGATTACTACGATTGTTTTAGCATCAGCTATATGCAAAGGAAATGATGCGCTGGCCTATTTTTTCAAAGAAACCTCCAATTTGTATTCTGCTTGTTCTCACCAGCACACAGTGATAATTATTTCATAATGAATGCTGATATTATTTATAGACGTACAAGCAAGATACCAATTGTCAAGTGTACAGAGAAATTTTCTTTAGTGATACCGTCTTCCTGTCTCCTCTCCCGCCTTCCAGTGGGAAAAAGGGGGGGAGGGGGAGAAAGAAGGGACCTAGCCATATAAAATTTTTAATATTTCTAATATTATGATGTAATAATTTCCAAAGATAAATTTAAATATGCATTTTATATATGGGCATAAATTAAAAAATATAATATTATAATATTGTACTAAATATTCTACCATCGAATTTAAAAATAAGTGAATAAATCTCCCCCAAAATTTAAAAAAAAAAAAAAAAAAAAAAATTAATTAATTTCTTTCTGTTTGTTACGGAATACTAAGCATTTTATGCTTATAACCTTATTTTTTAAAAATTTTAATTTACTTCAGTATCGTTAAAAAATCAGCAAAATAATGCTAATCTAATTTATTTTTCATTTAATTTTGCATATTATAAAAAAGTGAAAATTTCAAGAACCTTACAGATGAGTATAACTACAGTGCACATTATGTTAATAAATTTTCTCAAACAATTTTTATTTCTGCCATAGTATTTGAACTTCACAGTAAACAGAAACATTAGAGAAAATAATCTGAAATTTGCCCCAAATAATTTAATAATAAATAAATAAAAATACCACGCTTTTGGGTACTTTAAAAAATTCGATCTAAAATAATAGTAATGCCAGACAAAAATAAATAAATGCATATATGTATATATATATATATATATATTATATATATATATATATACATAATCCCACTATGTCAGACCTGCATAAACCCACAAAGAAGAAAAATTCATCACACTTTTAAGTTTCTAATAACATAATATAATAACTAATAATTTCTAATAATTAATGATAATAAATATTAATTTAAGTATATGCTGTATTTTAAGTAAATTAATTAGAGAAAAATGCAGCATATTTACGCATGAGGTTCAAAAGTTATGTTTAAAAAAAATTACTGAAGACAACATGATTGTTTATTTATTTATTTATTTTCGGAATAAGTTTAATTCAGTTTTTATTATACACAAATATTTTATTCGCAACGAAAGCATAAAATATTGTAACATTTCCACCGTATGGAAAATAAATAATTTTTTTAAAATTAAAGTTGTTGGTTATTTTTTTATTCCTAGGCATTTGAGGCAACTGTCTCAGGTAAATTCCATTTTGATTCCGGAACTACATATTTATTAATTGGCTAAAAATTTAGCATTCGCAAATTTGATCGATTTTTGGAACGTATTGCTTTTAATTTTAATGAATGATATGTTTTTAAAAATATTTAAACATATACATTTTTGTATATATTATTCGTAGCTTCTCTACTCGTAGCCATCTTGAATCTGAGATGCCTTCATGAAATCGAAATGATGATCCCTTTTAAAAGCTCAAAAAAAGTCTTTTTCCATTCAAATTTCACTTACATTTCATTATATGGGGCTTAGCCGTAAATATGAATCATCTGTAAGGTATATTAAACATTTTATATGTTAGAACATGACAAAATTTAACAACACCGTGTAAACATCTGAGCGAAGATAGAGTGTCTGAAGATGCTACGTAGTTTTTGGGCATTTCACCGATTTCGACCAAAAAAATGCTTTTTCACTGGTTAAAATTGATTATTTTTATTTTTACAGATATAAGATATTTATTCTTAAATATTTTTTCCAATTTTTCAAGATATAATACCTTTTTTAACGTTTTTCTATTTAGCTTTAGTAAACTAATGTCAAGCATTACTTACGACGGAGTGTGCTAAGATGCCTCAAAAAGAAATTATTTTCTACACGTTTCAACGTATTCTCTCAGATTTTTTTTTGGCAGACATGCAAATGAGATTCCAAAGTTTTACCTCAATAGCTGTTTTTAAGATAACAAAGGAATTTATATCAAAATAATTAAAAAACAACGGATGGGAGCTATTTCTGATCGAGAGTGAAGTCATAATTCCGCAGTTTTATCCCTCATATAAAGCTTTTCTTTGAAGTAAATAGGATATAAAAATAAATTAGAGATTCAAAGCTATCCATTAAAATTCATATTTAGAAAATTGAATCAAAATCTGATTTAATACGAATGATTATTTTCACACAAGAAACACAATTTTCACGTCTAAAGGTGTTCGAACGACTCGCTCAGAGCCTTTGCCGCGCTCCCAAAGTTTACAGCTTTCTGCGACGTCCGCGTAGAGTCGATAAAAAGGAGAGCGTACATGCTGCGCCAAACACATCATTTCGATATTGAGATCTAAGAGGTTGTTGCTGTGTAATCTGAAAAGACTGTTAATTCTCTTTGCTGAATTTTGAATTTTATCATTTTAAAGAAATTTTAAGATGGCTGAATCTGAAGTTGTTGCTACTCCTGCTGCAACTCCGAAGAAGGCGAAGGCAGCAAAACCTAAAAAGCCTAAATCTGCTCCATCGCACCCAAAGGTATCCGAGATGGTAAACACTGCCATTTCGACGCTGAAGGAGAGAGGTGGATCCTCTGTGCAAGCAATCAAGAAATATGTAGGAGCTCATTACAAAGTTGATGTGGACAAGCTGTCACCTTTTATCAAGAAATACCTTAAAAACGCAGTTGTTTCTGGTGCTCTTGTGCAGACTAAAGGAAAAGGAGCTTCTGGATCTTTCCGAATAACAAGTCAAAGCAAGGAGAAAGCTGCCAAGCCAAAAGCAGCCGCATCTAAGCCCAAGAAAGTTGCTAAGCCCCCAGCAGCCAAGAAGGCAGCTAAGCCCAAGGCAGCAGCGAAGAAAGCAGCCGCAGCCAAGAAACCCAAGCCGAAGTTGGCCAAGAGCGCGAAGAAGCCCAAATCTGTGAAACCCAAAGCACCCAAACCCAAGAAGGCAAAAGCTGTAAAGAAAGCCTCTCCTAAAAAAGCGAAGAAGTAATTTTTTTTTCGTACCATGGACTTAATCGCATTGTATATAGACATTCTCGTTATCATCAAAGTGAGAAACCAGATGTTATTCCGGTAGAAATCATCTGAATTTGTTCCAGCGTGCTTGGACTCCCTTGGATGTGTTCATCGTCGTTTTGGAACTTTCATCCGCCATTATCATCACTAAATAATCATCATCATCTGTGCCAGCTCCACATAACAATCTGGACATTTTCCCCTTTTCTCGTTAAGGACATTTTTTTTTTCCTTCAAATTTTCAGTTCTTACATGTAATATTGTTAGAGTAAGTACAATGTTTTTCTTCTTACAAGTGTAAGATTCCATAAACCTGTTCAAGTTTTAAAAAAGTAAAGTAAGAGAAAAAATATCTCTTAAACAGATAACATATTTTGATATTTTTACATTTAAAGATTTGATAAGATTTAAAAGTTGAAATCGTAATTTTTTGCTTGGAATTTATTTCACAGATGTTTGTTGTCATGATGTAAATAGATCATTTCATTATTCATTGAAAAAGAAATATTTTAAGATGTTTCCTGCCATGAGCACAATTTATTTTGTATTTTTAAATGTAATTTTGTGTGCGTCCATATTGCTTGAAATTTTTTAGCTTTGTAAATACAAAGTATGCTTAATGAAACCATTCTCTTGCATCAGTTTAGAAGTGTAATTTGTAATGCCTAAAGATTAGGATAAACTGTTCGAAGAACGTTTAGTACAATGCTGAATACGTAATTTTAATTTATTTTCAGAATTGCATAAATATTTCTTATCATTTGTCATTGGAATTTCCTAAAAAGCATTTGTTGTAAATGGTCATATTTTATAATAAAAATGTTTGTTTGTGAAAATTAGTGTTGGTTAGTGTTTTAAACATTTAGGTTTAGGTAAATGACATTTTTATTATTCCTGGCTTTGAATAATTTTTTTCATAGCATTAGTATTCCTGTGATGATGGGTTCCTCATGATTGGTGCTGCCATCTATACAAAATTCAATGAACTGAATTTTTTGTAAGTTTAAATTTTGATTATGTTTTAAACTAGTTACTTCTCTCTGTAGTCTTTGCATCATGCATTGATTTAAATGGTTAATCTTTTCCATAATGAGTTAATTCTTAATATCATACATAGAATTGTGAGATAAGGTAATGTAAAATTTTAGTAACTCAATTCTTTTAACTTGCTGTTAACAAGATGATTTAAATTATGATAGATTCAGAGCATATGGCTGTAAAATAATATAGTTGCATAACTTGAAATATTAGCCGATTAATATGTGATTAGTTTTTCTGTGGCTTTTTTTTTTTTTTTTTTAAATGACGCTATATAGTGAAAGTTCTTGCAGTTTACTAACTCAGGTGATCAGCATTTTTGAGAAAGTGTTCATGTAATATCTCTTGGAATGGGGAAAGTATTCTACTTTTGGGCTAAGGAAATTTAGTTGATGTTCTGATTCACCCGAGATTTCAGTTCATTGGAGATTTTAAAGTTATGTGTAATTAGATATGCATCAAATCAAACCCAAATTTCAAAGCTTTATTGTATTTTGCCAAACTAGTTTAGACTTGCAATGAATGCACTGAGGTTAAGAACTATCTTGTTCCAAAATGTTGTGTATACAATTTTGCTTTTTCCAGAAACGTTGCGAGTATGGCAATGCAAGCATTTACTGTATTAGGAGTGGCCAACCTTCCTGGAATACATTTGGAACCAAAGTGATTATGTATCAGTGCATTTAGTTCATACATAGGCATCATACATAGTTCTAATTTTATCAAAATTCAAATTTAATTCCAGAAGAATTGTTTGATCACTTAAGCGTAAAAGGAGAATTAATGCATGTTTAAATGAAGTTCAAAGTGTGCAATTTCATTTTTTTCTATGTAATTTTTCTGATCGGTTACCGAGCTTATAGCATTTAACAAAGACTTGACCAGTGTTTAATAAGTTCATCATGTAAGGAATTTATAAATGGTATATTACAAAGTTTATTGGAGAAAGTGCAGAATCACCCACTGCTTGGCATGTTTTTAGGACTTGTACATACTTGGTATCCATGTACACATCAACATATTTGTCTGGATCTAGAAAATTGACAAAAATCCAATTCTTACCTTTGTAAAATGCACCGAACCGTAGGTGATTCTGCACTTATTATCCAGTTTATCTACATGATCATACAAGATTAATTGCCAACATTAATTCAATATTTAATAATTTTTATGGTGTTTAAATGCACTTGTAAATCAACTGGTTTAATCCTAGTATACATGGGATTTGGTAACATGATTCATCAAATAAGGCATTTTAAATTTGCAGTCAAGCTTTAGGCTATAATAGGTAAGCCTGTTCAATATGCACTAGGGTTACTCCACAATCATGTAACTAATGTTTGCATTATAGAATCTAAAACTACTCTGGAATGGTCATTTCAGTCACTTAAAACTGTCACATTCAGTGACATTGAATTTTTTGGTGAAGTAAAAATCTCGAAGAACAGATGCTGTTAGTACCCCTCATATGTTTTGTTTTGTTGTTAGCTTAAACAACAACCTCAAATGGCAAATAGCTGAGTCCAGTAATGTCAAGTATAGCATTTAAAGATTGTAGTGCTTTGCAAAAGGTATGCAAGGTCTGGCAAACATCAAATAACAGTGGAAGAACATTTTGGAACTAATTTTTGAGATGATTATATATTAATTGAAGATATGATTTTGTTTTATTGGTAGATGATGAAATTTTAGTCCAAACATTCCTACAGTGAGCAAATACCAGAGAAAACTGGAATTAAATAAGGGTGAAATGTCACAGAACAAAATAGTAAAGTAAAAGCTAGCCACATGAATGAAGTTTGCAGTTTAGGGAATAATTTGCAGTGGGCATTTGTCAAAAAGATGCTTGCAGCAGAAATAAATTATGTATCCTTACTGGGAAAACTTTTTAACCCCCTTACTTGAGTTTTCATCGATGCAAAATTACAAAAATGGATTGCATAACTTAAAAAAAGGATTTAGGATAATAAATAGAGTACAAAGCAAATATATTTAATATCCAAATCATGATATATTTTGTTAAATAAGTTACACCTCATATTTGCCAGTGGGTTTGAGGGTTCAATAAAGTCTGAAGCTCCATTGCTGTGCAGCATAGAAACATCTGCATTTCTCCTGTTTCAAGATTTGTAGTAGTGTATTAAATCAGTGGTCTGATGGCCTTCAAATACTTTTTCTAAATTAATTAGCATTATTATGGGTAGAATTTGATGATTTTGAAATGAATTTCACGTAATCTTCACAACTAAAAATGAACTTGTATAAAGATCTAGAAACGGAATTAATTAATTTACACTATGATATAAATTTTATTCAAAGATATGAAGATGCAAAATTAATTTTTATTACCATTTGACAAAAGATAAATATCTTCGGTTGGAATGCCTCAGATAAATTTCCTTAGTGGGAACATTGCAAAAAGTCTACAAAAAAAAAAAAAAAAACTGCCATTTAGTATCTTTATATTTGTATGAAGCTACTTCCTAGCAGTTTTTTTCCAAGGTTACAAACTTATGGGAATCAAAATGTAATGTTGTGACTGAGAAGTGTAGTAAACATTTATTACGTACAAATATGCATTTTTTCTGTGTGCTTCTTAGAGAAATGCAATAAATAAAATAATAGGTTCCCAATATTTATTTTCAAGGGTAAAAGTATAGTTTAGGGTACCACTTGGCGGTACATGGATACCGATTTTGTGCAATTCTTTGACTCGTTATTTTGGCTTGCAAAGCGGTGATTTTTGTACACAAAGCCAAAATAACAAGACAAACAATTGCACAAACTCTGTATCCATGTACACATCGACTTATTTTCACTTAAAAAAAAATCCTCAAATTGCACAAAAATGGCATTGCGCACTCCTTTGACTTTATCCATGTACACGTCAACATATTTTCACTTAAAAAAAAATCCCAGAATTGCACAAACTTGCATTGCGCACTCCCTTTACTTTGTCCATGTACACATCGATATATTTTCACTTAAGTCAAAGGAGCACCAAATTCTACAATATAGGCACACAAAAAATACATAATCTCAATAAAATAACATAAGAAAGGAAAAACATGTTATACATTTAAGCACTACCAAAGTCTGTTATTCACTTATCGTGATTTTCGAATTCACTTCGTACACCCAGAGCCACATAAAAATCAAAATATAAATCATACTCAAATGACTTTTTTTCAAACCAGGTACTCTTTCTGATCAAACACTTCACATAGTGACCATCTGAACCTTTCTTCCTACAAATCCATCTAAACTGTTTTTACATTTGACTAGACACATATCCTTCCTACATACAGGACACTTATAATGGCTACTATGTAAACCTTCATTTACACACCAGTGAATTAAAGCTCTTTTCCCCTTTCGCTCCAAGTCGTACAGAAACTTCAAATTAACCTTACTACATTCGGCCATTATACCGTCTAAAGAATCAAATTAAAACACACCACAAAAAATGCTTACAAAACATCCCATGATTCAAAATTTCCCAGAATCATGCACCCGATTACGTCACAATAGGGTTTCCATAACATTCAACTACTCAGGCTACCATAAATGAAACAACAACTTGGCGATAAATCAAACAACAACTTTGCCATAATACAAGGGGTACCATAAAGTCTACTCTACCCATTTTCAAGTTTTGGAGTCAAGCCTCTGAAGGCATCCCTCCCCTTAGGCAGATAGCCCTAGTGTGCTTTGCCATAATTAAATACACCAACACCACCAACTCTTGGGACGTTTCTGTATATTTCTTTCTAGTTCAAATTTTAAAGGTAAGTTATTTAGTAGTCAGTTCAATGTATTACAATTGTTTGAAAAACATCAGTTTGAAAATTTTAATATTTATCTATCAATATGCTTGAATTACAGATGTTTTGACAAATATCTAGTAAATTTTTTAAAAATTTAGTTGCAAAATTTGTTAACTTACTTTTAGATCGTGCATTTGGCATGCATGCAGTATGAGACCACTGCATCAAATTATTTTAAAAACAAGAGCTGTAGATTATGCTGAGTTTATTTAACTGTTCAAATGGAGTTAACTGCATATCATGTGTGTTTTATTCACAACACCTGAACTTAAAATTAATGGTAATAAATGTCTATGGTATTGGTCATTAGCTAGCACAATATATATATATTGCAGTTAATTTTATGGTTTTTGTTTTTAATTACTAGGTTTATAGTGCCATATTATGCAATAAACAAATAGGTTCCAATAGGTATCTTCATTTTGTAACTAGAAGTATGTTTATTTAAATGGTAATTGATCCAAAGTACTGCAGTGCTAAGTCAGATATCCAGACTTAAGTGACGCTGTAAATTTGGGGGGGGGGGGGGAGTTTGGAACGTTAATTTCGTGAAATGGTTGTGAAAGGAACTAAAATTTAGCAAAAGAATTGAGTGTTAGCATTTGTTTTATTAAACATTTATTCTAACAGTTAATGTTAAAAAGAAAAACATTTCTTATTCAGTTGGAGAGTTCTACTATTTAAGTTCTTTAATCACTGCTTTGAAAAATCTCACTAAATAGTCAACAGATTTTCATTCTTAAGAACTTTGTTGCATTATCAGCAATGTTATTTTCTGGACTCAAAACCATACTATGGACTTTGCCATCCATTGATTGATGAATGGCAGGCTATTTCACTAGCCATATATTCACATTTTTTCCAAATTCTGCTAATTCAAAAAATTGAGGGTAATTTTACATCCATCTTTTACATTTCCGTATCTTCTCGGTGCCACATGTTACCAGTTTGCTTCTTTCCTGACACTATCA